CTTCCTCCCTCCCAATTCAATCATGGAAAATCCTTCCCCAGCGCTGTCACTGAAATCATTACACTCAGAATTAAACATGGTGTAATGGAGCCGCTGACAAGACCCTGAGGTCCTATTGACATGCCAGGTCTCACATTAATAACCAGCTTTCTGTATAGTGGAAAGGAAAAGACCTGCAAATTGGGGGTTGTTTTTGCCTCCCTTTGGAAGTCATGTAATGACTGCCTGTTCCTGATTCATTTTCAGATGTTGAGCTGCAGCCGTGTGACTTAACAGGTTAACATGGCTGCTCAGCCTTCTCCCTTCACTGCCCAACCTTACTTTAAAAAAAAAAAAAAAAAAACAAATCTGCATCAGTCCAAGCCTCCATGCTTTCCTCTGTGCCAGCTCTGCCTTCTCATCCCCTTGATTCATGCCTCTGGTGCACACATCTGCTATCCACCACTACAAATTGGCTCTTTGTCCTTTCCCTCATATTTTTTTCCAATTTTGTGACTTTGTTCTTTTTGCTTCTTCCATATTCCTCGGTTCCTTCTAACATCTTCCACCTGTTCTATAAAGGCAGTAAGATACAGAGCAATGAGAGCAGTCTTCACAGTGAATGATAGTGACTCAATCTTTATTGCCCTTCTACCTAGTTAAGTGACATCCATGCCTGGCTATGGATCGGCTCATCGAAGCCCAGACCTTGTGCATCCATAGCTGCTTTGAGTTGATTTCTATGGCTAGGTCTCCCCCCACCCTCAATGACATTTCTGGTTCTCACATTCTTTTTGTCCTTTCTTTCACGGTGTTTCCTAAGCCTTGGAGGAGATGGTATAAATGACTTACCTGAGGTGAAGTGTGCACCTATGGCTTTGTCTCAGCACTTACCTTGTGCATTCATGAATCTCTGCATTCACCACTGTGCTCACTAAAAAGAGAAACTTCTCTGCTTCAGTCTGAGAATAACATTTATCTATGGGTAAAAGCATAAATATTTAGATGAGAAGCTTTGCTCTACAAAAATACTCAACTCCCCTCTAGAGCCCATGATTTCCTTCACCATGAGTCTTTAACCAGGTTTATAAGCATATAGTCCCTCCCTGGAATATGTCTCAAATTTAATCAGAGAGGGGTTGGTTACCCTCATAATAGTCATACCATTATTGCAGAAGTGGGTACATCTTTCTTGGCAGATTTGTCTCATAGATCATAGAATCCAAAGCCTTTTTGTAATGCCATACACTTCTAATCTAGACAGGCATTTGGTGGCATCAGCTTCTGGAAGCACTATAGTGATTGAATTACAGATCACATTTACCTGAAAAAATTGTCTTTAATTTCTACACTATATCCAGGGACAGTGATGGTCTCTGAAGAGCAGCACGGCCTATGGGGAATAGGGAAACTTTACCAGTCCTATCACGCACAAGGAAGAGAGTTGTGCAAGAAAACGAAGATGGGGATAAATAAGGGAAGACAGACAAAAGTTACTTGGAATAAACACTCTCTTGAGGGTGGACTGAAGCAGGAACTCCTTGGAGACAGTGCCAGTAAATCCCCAAGAGTATCTCATGTTTACACAAAATCTATATTGCTCAGATTGTGGCTTCTTGGCAAAGAACCATGTGTGAGTCTTCATTGGATTATGATCAGTATATGTGATGCTTGTTCTGGATTGTGGGTAACAAAATCTCCTGACACACAGAAAAGCACCAGGATCCTAATCTTTCTGCCTGTTATAACATCTCCTATACAAATCATTATTTTATTTCAATCACTTGCATACCAGTAACCTAGGAAACTACTTCCTTCTGAATGCTCTCAGATTTTTTACGTTCTTTTTTATTTATTTAATTTAGAAACAATCTTATTTTACATATCAATCTCAGTTCTCTCTCCCTCCCATCCTCCAATGAACCCCCCACCCCTATCCCACCACCCACCCACTCCCCAAGGACAGTGAGGCCTTCCATGGGTGATCATCAAACTCTGTCACATCATTTGGAGGAGGGCCTAGGCCCTCTTACATGTATCTGGGCTGAAAGAGTATACCTCCATAGGGAATGGGCTCCCTATGGAGCCATTTGTGCTCTAGGTCCATTTGTGCACTAGGGATAAATACTGGTCCACTGTCAGAGGGCCATTAGCCTGCCCAGGCCTCCTAACTGGCACCCACATTCAGAGGATTTGGTTTGTTCCAATTCTGGTTTCCCAGCTTTATGACTAGGGCCCATATGCTCTCACTTGGTCAGGTCATCTGTTTCTGTGGGTTTCTCCAAAAAGGTCTTGATCCCTTTTCTCATTTCTCATCCCTCTCTACAACTAGATTCCAAGAATATGGCTCATTTCTTAGGTGTGGGGGATTGCTTCTGCTTCTATCAGCTACTAGATGAAGGCTCTAGGATGGCAATTAAGGTAGTCATCAATTCCATTATAGGGGAAGGGCATCTAAGGCAGCATCTCCTCTAGTGCCTAGATTCTTAGTTGGGGTCTTCTTTGTGGGTCTCTGAACATTACCCTAGTGCCTGATTTCTCTTTAAACCTATAATGGCTCCCTCTATTAAGGTATCTCTTTTCTTGCTCTCCTCTATTCCTCTCCTGACTTAGTCTTCCTGAACCCTCATGTTCTCCTCCCTCCTCCTATTCCCCCTTCTCTTTTTCCTACCTCTCTCCCCTCTTCCCTCATGCTCCCAATTTACTCAGGAGTTCTTGACCTTTTCCCCTTCTCTGGGGGACCATGTATGTCTAGGGTCCTCCTTGTATCCTAATTTCTCTGGAGGTGTGGATTGTAGGCTGGTAGTCTTTGGCTCTATGTCTAATATCCATACATGAGTGAGTACATAGCATGCTTGTCTTTCTGTGATTGGGTAACCTCACTCAGGACTGTTTCATCCAGTTCCATCCATTTACCTGCAAATTTCAAGATTTCATTGCTTTTTACCCCTGCTGAGTAATACTCCATTGTGTAACTGTACCACATTTTTTCCATCCATTTTTCTGCTGAGGGGCATCTAGTTTGCTTCCAAGTTCTGGCTATTACAAACAAGGATACTATGAATATAATTGAACATATGTCCTTGTTGTATGGATGTGCATTCTTTGGGCATATGCCCAAGAGTGGAACTCCTGGATCTTAAGGTAGACCGATTCCCATTTTCCTGAGAAACCACCATACTGATTTCCAAAGTGGCTGCACAAATTTGTACTCCCACCAGCAATGGAGGAGTGTTCCCCTTTCTCCACACCCTCTATCAAAGAACCCTGTTCAGATCTTGGTCACTAGAGAGGCTGAGGTTAGCCTTGTTTCTGGAATTTCCCATATGCTCTATATACAACAATTGAAGTGAACAAACTTTGCTCTGGTAGATTTTTATCTGCTTACAACTAAAATAATTTATAAACTTATTAGACTTGTATCTTTTTTTCAAGAAAAGAGATTTTCTCTATTTTAAAACAGTATGAATTTGATCTTTCCTGCAAATTAGATTATAAGCCAAGGAGTTAAAGAATTATGTATAGTTAACTTTCTATTTATAACTTAGAAGATCAGGAGAAATTTAGTTTTGAGGTTAAAGACCATGCAATAAGAATTTGGCCCAAATTGGGAGTAATCAGGGAAAAATAACATATGCCTTGAGATAGCTTATGCATAAACTATGATGAGCCAGGAAATATTACAAAAAATGACCTCCTGCTTAATCTTCAGTTAAAATGACAGCTTTAGATTTTTAAGGTATTTGTATTACATGATAAATTATGCACAAAGAACTTTTACGTAGACTTGGGCCTGGTGAAACAAGTCAGTAATCCTAGTTTCTCCAGAGGGACTAAGGCAGAACAGTTTGCAAGTTCAAGGCTATTCTGGGCTATAGATTGAGTTCAAGACCAGTCAGTCTAAGAGTCTTAGTGAGACCCTACAAAAACAACAACAATAAAAGAACAACTGATGGATGCCTCTCAGGGTAATCATTTCAATACATTATTTTATTCTCTCTTCCTGTAAACCTACTGGTATGACACTATTTCCTCACTTATAGATGAAGATAAGAACAGGAGAATAAGAATTTGTAAGGCCCAAGGTTGCCAGGGTGATGACTAGCAGAGCCCAGAACCAAACTCAACTCACTTCCCAGGAGAATGTCAACTCTGAACCTTAGCCTGTGGCATAAGTCTCAGGCATCAATGGGCTGGCAGAGAACACATGCTTAGGTTGAATATAAAAATGGCTGCATATGAATAGCTTGTAATCATAACCCATTATATGTGAGAGTATAACAAATACAGTGAATTTAGAATAAACAGAAAACATTGGCTTCTGACAATAAAACAATGCTGTATACTGATAGCAGTCCCATTTTAAAGTTTTTTATTAAAAACTATTATAACAGTGAAATTTCATAACATGATAACCCCAAGGTACTGTATAAGCTGTGTTTTATATTCAAATTGATGTTTCTATGTCATGACTGGATTCATTGTCTAACTGGTTCCAATATAGTTTGTCTCCTCCCAAATACATGCTAAAATTTAATCTCTGAATCTGAGTGTGGGAGCGTTTGGGAGTTGTCAGGATTAGGTAGGGTCATCAAGTCCTACCTATAAGATTAAACACTAGTGACTTCATAACAAGAGAAAAAGAGCCTCCTAGTGACACTCTGAGCTGCATCAGGATCTTGCAGTTAGAGGTCATTGGTGTGACCCAAAGAAACCTTTTTTCTTTGTAAGTAAATTACCCAGTCTGTGCTGTTATAATACCAGCAATAGAAACCAGGCTGAAATATCAACCAAAGAAATATTCCCAAGAAGTGCTATCTTTGTAAATTTTTTAGTAGTCACGGCAAGTCTGAGCCCTGAAGAAATTACAAGAATCAGCTACTATCACACCTCTTGGCAGCAGAAGTGAAATTCATACAGACTCTAAAACAGCATTTTCCTCCTTCAGCCACAAGATTACAGAGTTGGAACAAGATGTCTGAGAAACCTTTTCATCTTCCATTCCTCCTTTCTCCTTATAGGTCGCTACCCTCAGGAGAACAAGGGCACCTACATCCCTGTGCCTGTAGTGTCGGAGCTGCAAAGTGGAAAGTGGGGAGCCAAGGTTATCATGAATGAAGACAGGTCTGTGCGGCTTACCATCCAGTCTTCCCCCAAATGCATCGTGGGAAAATTCCGCATGTATGTCGCAGTCTGGACGCCCTATGGCATCCTTCGTACCCGCAGAGACCCAGAAACAGACACATACATTCTCTTCAATCCTTGGTGTGAAGGTAAGGGCCAAGTATTCCTCTTTACAAGTTCCCACAATCCCAAAGCGTCTCATTTGAAGGAGTAAAAGGGCTATTCCAAAGGACAGATCTGTTCCTGACTCTCTTAGTTACGTTTGTGTTATGGGACCAAATACATGACAAGAGGCAGCTTGGAGGAAGGATTTATTCTGTCTCATTGCCCGAGAGCAAAGTTCACCATGGCAGAGGTGTTGTGGCCAGTCACAGTACGTGCTCAATCAGGAAGTAAGGAGAAAGATAGCCAGGGATCAGCTGGAGTTCTTTCTCCCATTTTATTCAGTCTTGGATCTCCCCCATGGGATGGTGACACCACATCTAGGGTGGGGCCTTCTGGCCTGTTACAGCCCTCTGGAAATGTCTCCTAATGATTCTAAATCCAGTATAGGTGTACTAATCATCACCCTGATATACAATGTTTTCTCAAGATTAAAAGTGAGAAAGAAACACGATTTACTCTCAGTCTAAGTGAAGTGAATGCTGCTACACACTTCTGGAATTAATTAAAGATTGTTTAAAGTTGCATAGTGAGCTATTTATGGACCTGTGGTATTATCTCAGTATGTTATTTGTTCTGTAAGCAAAATTTGACATTAAACTCAACTTTCAAAACATTATAATAGAACCCAAGACTCTACTTTAAAAAACAATAAAGTCAGCTACATCAATAGCAGAAATAGCTTCATCACTCTAATTCAAGAACAAGAAAGCCTAAAGGATCCCACTTAATTATTTATTCTCATGATAGGTCTACATTTCACAAATCATTGGCCTGCAAATTCAGATATGAAATGATATTTTAACACAATATTACTTAATCTCTTATTGCTTATTTCCATTACTTGTTTCCATATAATGTTACTTCTTTCCATATGCTGTGAAAGCTTAAGCTAGTTACATTTAGATTACTCAGTTGGGTTAATGAGTTCTTTATCAAGTCCACTTAAAAGCTCAAATTTCATAGAATTTTCTCCTCTTCCTCACTTTTGCCATTCTATGCTCCCCAGCTGCTTCCATACACACTGTGGGGCTGAGAGTGCCATATGTTGTTAGGTGTGTGGCAATGAGATCTAAGAGCTGAGAGCAAGAGACGGCTCATATCAGCCTATTGGAGTTGGGTTTATCACTCCCCAAACATCTTCCGAACATGAGTCTGGGCTATTATTTTTTATTTTACATAACTCTTTGTGTGAGAAAGTTGCTTTGGACCTGGATTTTCTGAGGTAGATGTAGACAGTAATAGAGTAGCAATGTTTTCTACTCCTGTTAAACACATCCCTAGATCTCTGTCCTTTCACTTAAGTCTTTCAGTGATCTGGGCACATGGAACCTAGCTGAACCTGCACTCCCACCCACTCCCAGTTCCTGTCACTGCTTACTCAACACTCATCTATGACTCATGTTCAAGGTTGATGTGAGCAAGAGATGTCACTTGGGCCATGTGTAGCACAAAGATGGAGTCCTGTTTTTAGAAATCTCATCAATTATATATAAGGCATTTTGCAAATGAGACCTGGTGTGCTATTTGCAGACATGGGAAATAGAGGTGCCAACTAAGGGACTGAAAGTGAATTGGGAGTGATAGCAGAAATGACCAGCAAGGGTGTGTCCCTGGAGAGGGGAATCAGAGTGCATTTGAGTTATCTAGACCTAGAGAAGACACATAGATCCAGGGGGGAAGAAAGACAATATGGGAAGAACGGTATTTGGGAGTCTAGTAGAGAAGCTAGCAGAGAAAAAGAGACTGAAACAGAATTAGTATTTTAAAAGTCCACATTTACACAATTAATCAGGAGGCAGTAACTGGTTTTCCTTGCACTGAAAACAGGCAGTCATGGACTTCATGTAATTACCTCAGGATGTCTGAGGAATGACATGATTTACCCAAAGTGTGTCACAGTTTTATGGATTGTCTCATCCATGTACTATGTGGTCACTCCCCTTGAGAAAAAGAAATGTGTTAGTTGTTTTGCCTGCCATAGTGATTTTCCAGATGAGCTATCCATGAGGTAAAGACCTCATCATCTTTAACTGCTTTGTTGTTTTCTTGGTCTGCTCTTGTATGCATGATAAACAGCTTCTTGGTACTTCCATTCAAAATGTTGCTTAGTGACAATGTGCCTGTGCCCTAAATAGCCTGTTACAACATAGGGACCTCCCTTTGAAACTCTTTGCAGAGAAAGAATTGAAGGAAGGTGAGACTAAAACCAGAGAGACCCATTTGAAAGCTGTGGTTCAAGACAAAGATGGCAAAGGATGTAACTGTGGTGGTGGCAATGGCGATAAAAAAGGAAACGGAAGGGAGATCAGTTTGGGACCTAGAACATTGGTTGCAGAGCAATTAGAGATTAATGGAGAAATAACTAGATGTCTAGTTTGCCCCACTGAGTCGATGATATTGATATCTTCAGAACTGAGATGGCCAGAGAGGTGGAAGGGATAATGTAAGGACACTGAGAAATGATAATACAGTGATATCTGTGAGACATCCAACTGATGACATCAAGTAGGCACTAGAATAATAGGATATGGAATAAAGTAGGATGCAAATAATGTGTACTTCAAAGGAGTCAGATCAAGTTTGGGACGAACAGATATTTTAATAGGAAAGTACTCACGCATCAATCAGTCCTTTACACCAGGCGAACCATGCAACAGTGAGAGCTGCCTGCATGCGACCCTGGTATTTAAGGTCTTGCTACATCACTGACCCCGCCCTAGTGCGCATGGTCTGTGTCACCTGTGCCCGAGAGGGCGTGGCTAACATTTCTTCTACAATGGAACATGGAGGATATGGCTGAGCTAGCCATGAAAATGTTGTGTCATTAAGAGCAAGAGCAGACAATTAGAGTAACAGCAAAAAAGAAGTGAACAAAGTAGACTGGGAAGGAATGATCTTAGGAATTCCAAAGAGCAAAGAGCCAAGTACCTTTGTCTGATCAGAGGACTGCAGTTAACTGTGGAGTATTGCTCCAGACTTGAATTGGTGAATGAAAGCAGAGAGTTTTGTTTGTTTGTTTGTTTTGTTTTTAATATGATAGCACTAGGATCTTGGAGAGGATGAAGCCACTGAAACAATGGGGCAGAATCCAGGGAGATGGGCTACAGCATAAAATTAGAGTCAGAGAGTGTAGGCAATGGGTACTGACACCTTACTTAAGACATTGGGTCAGCTGTTAAGAGCACCCACTGCTCTTGCAGAGGATCAGAATCCAGTTCTAAACACCTACTTATAGAAGGCTCAAAGCCACTTTTAATGACAGCTCTAGGAGAAGCCAATGCTTCTGGCATCTGTAGGTACCTGCACATATATACATCAGCATACACCCACACACACACACACACACACACACACACACACACACACGCACGCACCTCAGTACCCATGCAAGTATTCTATTGTGGTTGCACAACCATCCGAGCCTAAGGTTTTTTTTTTTTCTAAAGATACTTATGTGATTCCAGAAGTCAGAGTTGGAAAACATTGGCTCTAGAGGCAGATCAGCCTAGGCAGGGTCTGGGGACTAGGTGAAGGGTCTGAGATGGGTGACCTAGGCACACTGCACTGAGAAAGTCACACAGGGGAGAAGAGGAGGAAAGGTTTCAAAATTCTGTGAAGGGATCACAGTAGAGGCCAATTTTTGGCTCCCTTGGTGGGAAGAGAACAACGTCATGTATTGAGAGAGTGAGGAAGGAATGGAGAACTCGTCATCTGGGAAGCAGAAGGTGGGCTTGTTACAGAAGTGTAAGAGTGACAGATGGGTCCCCTGTCCTGAATGCAGGGAACTGGCCACAGAAACCTTCATCCCTTGACCTGTGGAAACCTGAATGTTTCTGCAAATTCCTAGAGGGCTTCTACCTTCCTGTTCATCTATGACCCCCAGGAATCCTGTTACCCATGTGTTGAGCTCTTGGAAACTCCGCCTTTTCTCAGATTTAGCATCAACATTAAAGGTGGCTACACAAGTCATCTGCCACCTCCAGGCTTTGGTTGCAGTTCTATCTGCAGATAAGAGACAGGTGGGAGGGTTCTTCTCAGGGGTTCTCAACCCTAGAGTCACCTCAGAACTCCTTCCCACAGATTAGTAGGTCAGGGCCCATGCTTCAGATTTTGTCTGTCTCACTAGTTCCCAGCTATGCTAATGGCAGAAGCATATTAGGGAACCGGGGGTTTATGTAATACAAGATCAGAGCATTGTAACCTAGAAGGCTTTCATCTGCTCACAAAACACAAAACCATTGTTTCCTCCTTGAGTCTAATCTAAGTCTTTCTCACCTCACTGCCCCTTCCTCATCTCCCTCCCCCTATTTACCTCCCTATCCTCAGACTGCATCCTCAGACTGTATCCTCAGACTGCATCCTCAGACTACTTCAGACTTACTGCTGCCTCAGATTGCATTCATCTCTATGAATCCTCAGACTGCATCTCTCTTTCTCTCTCTCTCTCTCTCTCTCTCTCTCTCTCTCTCTCTCTCTCTCGTCTCATGGAGAGGGACTTGGCAGCTTTTCTAGCTTTTCTATTTGAATGCTATGCCCATGCTTTGGGGAACTTCGAGCCTTTGGATAGCCATTCCCTATAGACTGCTGTCAACATTTAAGACAGTTGCTTAAGTGTCTTCTCTCGGTGTGCATTGAGGACTCTCATGGGGAGAGATCTGGGACAGGAGAGAGAGGTCACATCATTTCATGTGTCATGTGACTTTGCAGCCTGGCACCCAAGGCATAACCCACAAAGGAGTTCTGCATGAAGACCCTCCCGCATACACTACAGGGAACCCAGGGCCCGGTACCTGTGGCACTTATGTGCCTGTACATGCGCTGAGTCTCTAGAAGGCGGGTCATAAAAGAAATGGACCTTGGCACAAGTGGAAAAAAAATAACAAAGAAGACAAAGCTACGGAAACAGAGTCAGGTGGATCAAGGCGCTAGCAATAGGGCACACCGGGTGTGGCAGTGAGGATTGATGTGGCAGTGCACACTGGGT